TCTCTGTAAGGAGAAAAATCTTAAACAGTTTCAATTCCAATAGCCATACTTAATTTTTCCTTCTTACAATGATCAATATTTCATCCAGCCTTTCAATAATCTTTCATACTTAAATAAAATTCAAATAATATTTAATAGTAAAAAAGCTTTAAAACTATAGTAGCGCAGCCGTATAGAAATATCTGTCAACTTGAATTACCAAAGAAGATCTATAGAAATATAATAATCAGGTAAAGTATCAATTTGACAATAAATTCGAATCACAGTTTTATTTGTACGATGCTCAAAACAATAAAATAGATTCTTAAAAATAAAAGTAAATCGCAAAACAAGTTAAAAAAAATCGTAAAATGATTTGTAAAAAGTAGAGTTATCGTACGGAAAGCAAAATTTCAAGGTAACAAACTAGAATTTGAAATGACGGTTTGAATCCGTTTATGATTAGAATGAAAGACCGAGAAAAACCGTTCTGTCAACAAAACAAATATAAACTGTTAAATATACAGATAAAGTCTGCAAAAAGAACGGGAATTTTTTACAGTGCTTTTCTTTTGTAGAATTTAAAGTTTTTCCTACAGTGTACATATATTTCAACACTTAAATGCAATACGAAGCCTTTTTTTACAAAGTTATTACTGATGTTCATGAACTGCTATTAAATATCAATGTTTGCAAGTATATATAACAAGTATGTATAATAATTACGTAACAAAACCAAGCACTATTTTCTCAAACTACTTAAATAAAATTATTAACAATATTATTAAAAAGGATTTTCATGGATCTTTACCAATAATCAACCTATTTCGGATTTTAGTTTCTCTCGTCATATGTTCCTATTTAAGTGTTATTTCCTGCTATTGTTATTTCCGATTACTTTTTATTGTAATGTATTATTTCCTATTTGTGTGTTATGTTCCTATTTGTATGTGAAAATTGCGTTTACATCTCTTTTTTTTCTGCTGCTCTTCACACTATTGTCTTGATATATTTTGCTTTGGCTACATAAACACAATCTTAGAAAGCACTATATTTGCGGATATAATCTTGTCTGCTGATGATGAGATTATTGTTAATTTTTGTATAGTTAATTGAACTTTTTATTGTTAATTTTTCTACATTTAAGCTAATTTCTTTCTTTAATTAAACATTGAACTTTTTAATATTTTTAAATTTTTAAAAAAATTTTTTTTTTTATTTAACATTCTTTTTCTCTTTTTGTTTCTTCTCCTTTATCATATATATATATATATATATATATATTTCGAATTTCGAGGAAGTACTATATTATTAGAAGATAATACGAACTTTCATCGAAGTTAATTTTACACCTTATCACAGAAAATGCATTATTTACAAATCTGCATTGTTTAATGGAACCTGTGAAAAGAACTTGTAATTTTTATTCACTAAAAACACTGATAGGGTACCTTGTTTCATCGTAAACAGCGTTTACGATCACTACTTACGAAGAGCTGCAGATCGATTCAGACTTTTAATGGGCAGTACAACGTGATTTCAAAAGAATTATTCTTTTCTTTTGGCTTTTGACTCCACAGGGAATCACACTAGCACTCAAATGGCCAAAGAAATGTCATGCCACCTTTTTTCCGAAATATCCATTAAATACTCTACTAGTGATTTTATGACAGCAGTGATTACTAAAACCTTACTCAGTGTTTGTTTGAACCACATAAAGCGTACAGAAGTATTATTTACTCACTTAATATAATTTATTAAAAACAGATTTGAAAGAAATTAAAATATTTAACTTTACTTTATTTTCCATATTCATTTCGAGAAAAGAAAAATGTGCTATGTTATCAACACAGAAATCTCAACAAGGAATCTATAGTACTGAGCATTAATTCCGTTTTGAGAATTTTCTGTTTATCTCAAATGTACATTTTTATAAATCATAAAGCTAAGGTTTCATAATATTAATGAGTATAAATAATTTTATGGAACTTGTAACGAAAGATGTTATCTTAACTATTATTAACTATTAATACTAAAATAAATGTTTAATTAAAATGCATGAACTTTCATATAAATTTTCTTGTTGAGCAATATTCGAATTTGAAACGCATATTTTGATATAGGAGAAGAGGGTTATTTATAGATGTTGGGCAATTCCTATCCTCTTCTTAACAGCCTTTACTTTAGGAGTTTGCAATTAATTGCTTGAATCTTTGGAGTATAGAATATCATTGTTACTTTTTTATTGTTCTCTATAATATTAACAATTTTGAATTATGGAACTCACTGAAATATTCAATTGAATAGCACATATTTTGTAGTCACAGTATCATGCAAATAAATATACATTAACGTAAAATGTTTCTTATGAAAAAATTTATTTCCTTTCACTAAAAAGTAATTAAAAACTATTTAGTGTTAAGCTCAAATTTGTTGTAAATTTTTTAAAATAGAATTTGACTTTTTGTTTCTAAAGAACTGTAGATACAAATCTTTTAAAAATACGTCAAGATGTAGCATTTTTTATATTTATCAGTTCAAACTTAAAAGGATTAAGGATGATGAATTATGTATTAATCATTGGGCAGACTGCCACATCACGTTTTACAGACCCTATTAAATTTATTTTTTAAATTACGTATATTTATTGCATTTGAAGAATTTTCTATCATGGAACAATGGCATTTAAAATATTAATTTTATCTTTTGGTCCCTGCTTTAAAGTTCAAAAAGTGGTAAAACTCAGTTTTTTTCTGAAGTCGTATAATCATAAAAAATATTGTGAAATGATTTTTTTTTATAAATTTATCAATTGAGGCGCGGGGGCTAAAGGTTAAGGCACTGAACTGCCTCAGTGAAGAATCGGGGTTCGATCCCCAGTGGCGACTTGAAGCCCGACAAGCTTAAGATAGATGGGTATAAGCTTGTCTGGAAGGTAAAAGTGATCTGCAGGCAGTACTGACCACATTTTTGTGATCATGCCGTTGTTCATGAAATTGTTGACACTTACCCCCTGAAATACCACCACGACCCCCTGAAATACTTTATTTTAAAGTTATAAATATTCTTTCTTTACGTACTGCCATCCGTCATAATAATTATTTTATAGCAACATAAAGGTGGTTATTAAATGGGTTGTGGATACTAAGCCTGCAATTTAAAATTCTAAAGATTCATTCAGTCGCATGCATTCTTTTAAATTTTTTTAAACTAGAAAAAGTAATTCTCCTTTTGGTTTCTTTCATTCAAACACAATTTTGCTAATAAATCCCAGAAATGATGTAATAATAAATAAATATAACTTAGCACTGATTGAAACTAGCATAAAATTCAAAATATTATGAAATTATGTTTTAATTTTTATTTATATTTATTATTTTTTAGGCGCACAATCATGATACATTGTGTTTCTTGTAATTAATTATGTTTTAAACAGCATTGATTAAAACTAATAAAAACATTATTAAATTATGCTTCAATTTTTATTCATATTCATTATATTTCAGTCACACAATCATGATGCATTGTGTCTCTCATAATTAATTATGTTTTAAACAAGATTCGTGAAACAAAAGTAAGCGGCATAAATATTTTTCAAACTCTTAATTTTAAACTGGAAAGCTCTTTATTTCTATTGTCATGATTTCTTCAGTTATACACACAGTAACTTCATATTACTTCCTTTTTTAAATTAGCTGTCGGGAAGTGGTCTTCTGAAAATTCGTTCGTTCTGACAAAACACACAACTTCTTCTTTGACAGTTCTCTTAAAGAAAAAAATTATTATCACTTTCTCATTCTCAAACTTCTTCTTTGTTCCAGCATAAAAGAAGGTAAAATAATGGAACTTCAAAGTTTTTTTTCTCTTCTCAGAAACAAAGAAGAAGCACGTGAATGTTTCCAGCTTGCTTCAATTTTCTTCTTCTTCTTTTTTTTACTTTCTATTCAAATTTTTCACTTCGTTCTTCAGTCTCTATTTCTTGATTTGTAATGACATTTTTTTATGTAAAAAAGAGGGACTTTTTGAAACTCGATATTTTTCTTTCTTTGCTCCTCATTTACTAAAAGTTTATTTTCACAGTCGTTCATCAAATTTTGGCAGAAATACTTGTCATACAATTTTTAATTTTGATATTTATTGGTACTAACTTTTCTGAAAAATTGCATTTCTCTTATTGATTTCTACAAATATATATTCTTCATATAAAGCAAAAAGCCTTTGGAATATACATTTCAAAAATACTTTATGCCCCTATGCAAATTAAAAGCTCTGTTTGTAATAGCTTACCTTTTTCTGACCTCGAATCAATTCAATTTTACGAACAATCAAAATTAATTAAACATTGACTTTTACCATGCAGTTTTTATTCAATAAGAGGTCCAGCTCAAATGCGAGAACTGTAATGTTCAATCACAATTACTGTACAGCATTTAAGCTTTACTGTACATAAATATTGTTTTAAATTGTTGTTGTCTTAGATTAATATAAAATTTTTTCAGAATGTTTAACCAGGATTTCCCAAATATTAGCGAAAGTATTTAATTTTTAATGAAGTACTAAATTTAGAACAACAAAAAGCCATTTTTTACCTTCTGAGCTTCAGTTTAAAAATAAAGAAATATATATGCTATAAATTAATTTTCAAAAACTTTACACGTTAAAGGAAAATTTAAACCAACCTATTACTTTTAATTTATTATACTTACAAATAACTGCATGGTAAAATTAAAAATATTATGTTTATTCAATAAGTATTAATTCAAATAAATAAAACTTTTTCTTTTCCTGTGTATGTTGAATTTTCCCGGGTGATGGATTGTATTTTTTATTTCCTTCTTTTATTTCTATTTACCTAAATAGAACTCATATAAAGAGCATGATAAAACGATATTAATAATTTTTATGGTTCATTAACCTACATTTAGAGGTAGTAAATATCAGATCAGTTCAGATATGCCAATTTCTTTCTTAGCATCTTAGTAATAACCCATACTACATATTTTTTTCTTTTTACTTTTCAGGTATCCATAGAAACAATTAAGAAATGAAGGACTCCGCCCTCCTTGGGACATGGAGAGTATGTATCTTAAAGCAGAAAGAATGTACCCTATGAGGCATATCTATCTAAGAACCTTTTATGATAACGTTCAAATACTTAACATCGATGAAAATAACACGCATAAAAATAACTGGACATAAAAGTTTCCTCGGGTCAAAGATCTAAAAGTGTTTCTTTGGATCATTACGTTTAAGAATAAACGATCTAAAGCGGAAGATCAGTCATTTGTCATCCAAATGTTTTCAATATAGTTGTCATCAGTATAGGAAAAATACGAAAATAGTGTTTCTTACAGAATAAGGAAAACTCCTAAGTTAAATTGTGCACATTAAATATATTGATGGTATCGGGATCTGATAATTTTTTTGCTTATTTTTTTATGATAAAAGGTACGCTTTAGACGATAACTCTATTTACACACATAACAAATTTGGTAAATGAAAAAAAAAAACACTAAACTGTAATATGCTGAAAGGAATTCATGAGATATATTGAGTGCGTTCAGCGTTATTTATTTAGAAAAAAATCAACACTCAAGGGGTTATTCAGGGCATTGTTATGTAAAACGTTATTCAAGAGAAAGAAAATCACATGATTCTGATTCAATGATAGTTTAAAATATTTAACTTAATTGCAATGATGTCATATTTAACCATAACACTCTTCATTAATATTATTGATATTTTTACGACTTTCAATTGTAACACTTATTGTAAAAAAAAACATTAATTTTTAAAGTACAACATTTGATTGTTTTATAGCGTACATTTTATAACAATTTATCGTACTTGTGCTTATAACTCAACTGACATTTAATGACGCAGCCAACATTGTTTAAAAGCAGATTTTGCAAAAGTATTTAACAAATGAGAATCATCGTAACTAGATTCATGTTTATGCAAACATCTTTTTTTTTAAATGAAATTTTATTAAATGAAATTTTATTAAATGAATGAATGACTTGTTTTTTTTATAAATTTTTGAATTATGTTGCTGAAGAAAATTTCCTAGCTTACAACTCTTTATTAACAACTTTATTCGCAATTCTTTGCAAAAAATGATAATTAATTTTTTTTACATTATTTAATTGACCAAATATAGCAAAATGATATTCCGATAGATCTGCGGAGAGATTTTGCTGGATAAGAAATGAAAAGATCGTGTCACATAATAAAATTAAGAAAATTTTAATTTGTAATTACAAACATAATAAATATTTTAAAAATCTCCGCAAACGCTAATATTATTAATGTCATATATTGAGCATACTACCTTTTTTTTGTCATAAAAATGTATTCAAGCAAAATAGCAAAAAATGTATTGTAGTTATAAAATTACAATACTAAGTAGTGTTTTAAAATATAATCCTTTTTTTTAAATCTAAAAGTCTCAAATGTAACAGTCGAATGCTTAAAACTACAAAAATAGTAATAAAATCTTGGGGGAAACTGAAAATCACAGCAGAAATTAAGCTTAATCAATTTGTAAAAGTACTTTAAAATAGTTAAATAATAAAAATCAGAAAAATAGCACGGACCATGAAATGAAATTCTTAAAAATATTTCGAAAATATTAAATATAAATCATTCATAAATTCAAAAGTAAAAAAAACTTGTTTTTCCCAGTGATAAATTTAACTCTCAAGCATCTATGTTCTTGGAATATTTATTTGGTTAAAATAAAAAAGTGTCGTTGTAAAAGGTTCTTAGATAGATTTACAGTTTAAATTGTTGTAAGTGTGTTCGGTTAATTCCTGTGCTTTTTGATGTTCTTTGTATATGATATGTAAATACATATATTCAAGTATATCAACAGTTTTTGAAAGAATAATTTATATTAAAAGATTGATTAAAATGCAAAGTAATACCACTATGCTCAGAAATGATTCACATTACTTTGCGAATGACAGCTTCTCTAAAGATGTTCAGACAAAATATTATTAAAAAGTAATATATTTTGATATATTGATTATAAAAAAAAACACTGAAGCTATTGCTCAAAGTAATTTTATGCCTTTAGTCAAAAAATAGTATTACCTTATAGATTAATTTTATAAATTTTCAAACTTAGTTTCATTGATTATTATTTTATATTTCAAAAGCCTTTGAGGAACTAAAAATACGCAAATTTTTAAATGCGCCTAAACTATTTTATTTATTATTTTCCCTTTCTGTTCACTAAATACGCATCATTATAATATTCTTTTGCTTCTTCAGCTATTTTCCAATAGCTTGGAAATTTATATTTAAATATATTTTTTTATAAATATTTATAGAGTTGATTTTAACTTTTTTAAGATGCGAGAGTTTTAAAAACATGCCCTTTTTTAAACTTGCGTATTCTTCTTTTCTGTTTATAAATATTACTAGAATAAGCATGTTGATTGGAATCCGTTTTCAATATTATTGTTAAACTTTCTACATCTTCACCTTTGCAGATCTAATTTTCTATATACACTATCGAATAATAAATGATTAAAGAAGCATTTAATTTTTAGTGATATGCAAGCACCTTTTTGTATAATTAAAAAATTGTAATGACATTAGAACTCAAAAAATCTTGACCCAAATTTTTCAGAGTCCCATTCCATCATCATCGTATATATTCACTTGGGTAACATTTTATAAGTATTTAAGCATTGAAAACTATTAGAATTACGGAAAAATAGTTCTAATGATACAAGTGTAAGTCACGTGACAGTCATGATGAGACGCTAATGTGTCATTAGAATAGCATTAGTTTTACGAAACCAAAATGGGTCAAATAAAATTAATTGAAAGCATATTATGCGTATGCATGATATAGATTTAAAATTAATTGTATAAATGCTCACTAATAAAAATGAATTTTAAAAATTAAGAACTAATAACTATATTTTTCAAAAACAAGTCCTTCCTATTAAACCCCTTATCTTTTGTATTATCATCTATTACACTTTATGGCATTTCTAGGTCCTCAAAGGAAATGTAAACAGTTTCAATATTGAAACAATATATTAAACAAATTAAGTGAGTTGAGAATCTTTCTAATTCTGTATTTATTAATAAATACTTTTTTTTAAATCTTAAATTGAGATTTCCTTAAGACGGTATTTAAAACATAATTTAACGATTTTTTGAAAAACGTTGAAAGTATTTTCATTCTTTGTTTTTGGAGCTGTCATAAAATGCACTATTCAAAAAGTGCTAAATACTATTCTAAACAGAAATAGCAAAACCTGTGCTGTGAAGTTTTCTGTCAAAATATTGTATCAGTGTTCTACTTGTAATATAACTATTGACATGTGTAAAGAACTTGAGTGCAAGTGTACACATGTTTTGTTCTTAGCATCTTTTGGAAATTGTCTTCCGCCACATGGCCATTTTCAACTTTGACCTCAAGCAAAAATGCACGAGATCAGTTGATTAGGTATAAGTTATGAGCCTCCTCAGGTGCTGAAGATATAAAAAATTGAGAAAAATGTAATTGATAATTTAACTCATAATGTACTCTATTTTAAGTTTCCTATTGCAAACCATTATTACAAATTGTTTGCTCTGTAGAAAATATCTCACTTAAATTTATTTTTTATTGTTACATAGAGCTTAGAGAAAGAAACATCAGTCATTTTCTTTGTTACTTAAATATAAACGCTTCAATTTTTTAAAATTGAATTATTAAGAATTATCATTTATAATATGGTATAATTTCAAAGTATAATTGGAGTAAAGTTTATTTTTATTACTAGTCAAAATATCAAAACTCTTTTTCAAAAAAATTATTCAATTGTAAAAATTCACAATTTTTAACATCAAAAAATGCATTAGTTGCACAAAAAAATCCCCCCCCCCAGCACAAATGATCAGTAGAAAGAAAAAAAAAGTTAAAAAATTAAGTAAGAAAGAAAATTTGAATTGCAATGAGCAAAAAAGTTGTAAAAAGTCAGGTCCAGAAACATTTCTTTCTTTAAAGCCTACTGAGTGTTACCTTTCTTTAACACTCAGTAAAATCCACACAAAAATTTAAAAAATTGTTTCAAATACAGTAACTCATTTATTTTGTGGCATCATATGTTTATCATATAGCAAGTTAATTCATTAACAGAGCAAATACTGGAGCGATGACAATTTTGTTGCACTTAACTAGGTTCATTTCTTATTATGCTAATAAACAATATTTTTACATAATATTCTAGCAATTCTTCTCCAATATATGAATATAAAGCAAAAAGATAAATTAAGAAATATTTCGATGTTTATTGTAACTTTGTGACACTTGAGCGTTGTCAATTAGAAATATCAAACAACATTTGTAAGAGAAATGACATATTTAATTCGAGACATTGCAAAACCTTTTTGTACACTACTGTAAAAATTATATTTTTCTAAGACTACACTATATAAATATATTTGAAATTTTATGAAAATTACGATGATTTTTGAAATTTAAGAAAGTATTTGAAACATAAAGGCGATTTTTTGTGCTGCGGGGAAATAAATGTTTTAAAATTAAATAAACAATTTAAAACTTGAAAAAAATTCTAAATTTTTAAGACTTTTATATACGTATACTTTATTCGGTTGAATCTTGTATAAAATTTTTGTGCTGGCATTTCCTTCTTTCTGATAAAAATTTTTTAGCAGATAATTAATTTTATTAAATTGTCATCCATGTAACATAAACAAAACTTTCTACAAGGTAAGAAATCTTAAAATCATTTTTGTCTAAGTATTTAAATCAATATTTAATAAAATACGATATGCATGAATTATTAGATTTTTCTAAATTCATTAGACTTTTATCAAGATATATTTTATTGGGTTGAATCTTGCATCACATTTATGTGCTTGCATTTTCTTCTTTCTCAGAAATTTTTAGTACATTATTAATTTTATTAAATTGTCATCCATGTTTCATAAGTAAGACTTTTTACGAGATAACAAATGGAAAATCATTTTTGTTCAAGTATACAAATCAATATTCCTTGAAATACTAAATGTATTTTAATTTCCATATTTGATATTAAAGGCATCCAATATTTGTCTTATTTTATAATTATTAATGCATTCTTTGTTATCGGTGATAAATATAGACCATAACGTTTTTGTTGAAGCATGTTTTTTCTCTAAGCAATTTTAATAGCTTTAGTTTGCATTAATTTCTTGCAAAGTATGAACAAAATAATTATGATCGCATTTTTTAAAAAAAAAAATTAATATACATTTTTTTGAAAATTAAAATATTTATCATGTTGTAATACCATTGAAATCACATTTTTAATATAATAACAGTTTGGTTTCTCCTTATTTTGAAATGTTTGTTAATTATTTGTTACTACAATATATGGATTAAAGAGGTCCGAAAGGTTTTTTGAGAGTTAATTAGTAATAGTAGAGAAAAGTTGTTTTTAATGATGTACAGTTAAAACCTATTTAAATGTTTCAATACTCTAATACTTCTCGACAGTTAAGACCCATTTTAATTTTTCAGTACTTTAATACTCTCTTCTCTTGGAAAGAGTATAAGGCATAAAAAGTATTTTAATTGATAAACTTTACATTTTTTTCCCAAAGTTGCGTGAATAGTCGTTCTAATTGTTTTGAGCTAATGATGTGCAAAAGTTATTCTTATTAATCTCACTATTACAAGTTAAAGATCTAAAAAACAATTCTTTCGGCCCATTTTAAAGCATATTTATAGAATATAAATATGTCTTATACTTTCTTTAATGAATACATTTATGTATTTCAATATATAATTTATTTAAAAGTTTGAGCTATATCTTTAATGATTTTTATCTAATAAATGTTGATGAAAATACCATATTATTTCCCTATGGTAAAAGTTTCTAGTTATTTTGCTTATTGCTTTCATTATTGTTGAAAATATATATTAACTTGTTAAACACTGAAATTGATTTTATCACGATATATATCTTAGAATGCCATTTGTTTGTATAGAGTGTACTTTAAAGAGTTTTAGAATGTAAAAATAAGGTTTCAGATATCATTTTAAGGGTATAAATGTACAAAAAATTGAAACGGTTCATAAAGGAATCTGAGCTTTAATTTATTAAAAAATTTCGAAACATAAAAATAAGAGAACGCTCCAAATTTATGGAAAATTTTTTATGACACTTAAATGTGAGCGTTGAAGTTTTTATAGATGATATTCTTAAAAAAATACATAAGGTTAATAAACTATCAAATTTTAAAGAGCCCTTTTGAATGTTGCCGAATGAAATGTTTGTTTTTAAGTTTTTTACAAGATATCGATAAAAGGGCGCTATTTTTTAAAGTGAAATAAAATTCATTGGGTGACAGTAATTCCGTAGCAAAACAAGAAACAAAAGACTTATCGTGTAAAAAATTATTGGTGAAGAACATATCTCTGCTCGAAATTGTCTACTTTTCTATTTCAAATGAGAAAAAATGAAATATTTATAGAAAATTATAAATGCACTTAATAAATGATATCTGACACTTTAACACTGAAAAGGTTTCTAGCTAAAGATTTAAGATATTATTTTAATAGACTGTAGAATAGAGCATTAGAATTTTAAAGCTTATAAGTATAA